AGGCCAGCCTGCACTGCATAGCAAGCCCCAGCCTCAAAAAGACAAAAAACAAAACAAAACAAAAATCCCAGGGCTGGGGATTTAGTTCAGCGGCACAGTGCCTGCCTGGCAAGTGCAAGGTCATGAGTTCAATTCCCAGTACCGGAAAAAACAAAAACAACAAAAAACAAAAAAACTCAGAAATACCAATATAAATACCAATGTATGTAGTAAACATATCAGTTTGTGACTCTCATTTGTTCTGTGACTATAAAAATTCATATAACAGTTTCTATGGTGTAACACGTCAACCACTGTTACTTGATCTGTGTTCTGGGGGCATGCTCACTCATATTTGGCTCAAAAGGAACTATTTCCTTATTTTTTTGTTTGTTTTTGTCTTTTTGAGACAGGGTCTCACTATGCAGTTCAGGCTGGCCTTGAGCTCACTTTGTAGCCCAGGCTGGCCTCGAACTCACAAGGATCCTTCTGCCTCAGCTTCCTGAGCGCTGGGATTACAGGCATGCACCACCATGCCCGGCTCCCTTATTTTATTTTTTAAAGCAGGGTCGTTCTTGACAGTGGACAGAGCGCTTGGGGCTCAGCCTCAGAGCCCCAGCTGCTTGGGTGATGGGGAGCAAGGCAGTTACCAGCCTGAAATACTCTGGCCTCTGAAATGGGAGTCACTGCGATGTTAATGCTAAGGGCTGCTGAAGGTGCTGGAAAAAAGGAAAGCATTAGAACTAAGAAGAAGTAAAGGAGTCTGTAGCCAATACTCAAAATGGTCCTCCCCTCCTAGGGACGTCCATCTGCTGGCAGCTGTGAAGTGGACTAAAAACAGCGTTGCTTCTTAAGGGCGCAAGAGCGCCCTGGGAACATTGGGATGCCTGGAGTAACCACAGATGCAAAGCCAGGGGAGAAGAAGCTGTGAGTCAGCTACGGCGGGTTGGAGCCCGGAGGCAACCGGCTCCCAGCTCAGTAAAGGTTGGGGTGGAGGGGCAGGATAAAGGCCCCGCCCCTGCCCGTGCACCCGGCCGGTTCCCCGTTGCGCGCGGCCCGGGGGGTGGTACTTTGGCTCACACTTGAGTCTCAGAGGCTGCACGTCTTTCCCAACTCCGTTTCCTGCTGCCCTGCCGCCCCTTCCCGATATCCTCCGGAAACTGTTCCTACCCCACCATGCCTGGTAGTTCCTGAAATTACACCTAGGGACTTCGCTGGTGTCCCAGCCCCCAGCGGTGGTTCTAGGTTATTTCTGGAGTCCGTGTGCAGCTCCAGGCTCCAGTTTGCGTCCTGGTTCAGTCAGTGCCGGTGGGAACCAGCAGAAGGGGGTTTCGAGCAAAGGACTGATGTGGATGTGACTTA